AAATTAAATATTTTTAAAAAAATTGAAAGTCTTTGAAAACTGGCTAAGATTTTTTTTTGCAAAGCAATTACTAAGAATTTTGTATTAGTTGCAGCCCTCTTAAAATGGGATGGGCCCTCCACATCAACACAGTCCCTGTCACTGTTTATTTTTCTTACACCTGTCACCCATTACCTTTTCTGGCCCTCTAGGAATTCAAGTTTTACTCATAAAAAGAGAATCCAAAATGAGTGTGTCTTTCTAAGCAAAGGCCAGAAAAGATAATCAATGGAAGTTCAGAGATTAAAGTCCAGGTTGTTGGCAGAGGTCCTGGCACTTGTATACATGACTCTTTTTGTATATTTTTAAAAGTTAATGGTTGCCAAGAAGAAGAAAGCAGAGAGAGACTAGGTTTAGCATCCAATGTGGATGCTAGAAATCAACATGGATGACCATTTCCTCTAGAGTTTGGATCATAACAGGGGACTTTGCATAGCATTCTCCATAGCCAATACAAAGAATACTATTTTGCTGACTCAAGCGGTAAGCTAGGCTTCCTATATTCTCTTCTGTAGACATAGGGTCCCACAGTGTGGGCTGGAAAATAACATATCCCAGCTGTGAAGATCACAGAAAAAGGACATTGCACTTGCATTTTGTGAAGAAATTTGTTTAGCATTTCAATTGTGTCATCTAAAGCTTAGCAGGAAATACAATTCATCTATCAAATGCAACACATTAGGGATATTCTCTGATGTCCCTAAATTGTAATTTAAAATAATGGATTAAAGCTACAAGTAGCTAGAATTCATGTGAAGCCCAGAAACAAACAAACAAAAAAATATTAAGGAAAATGTAAATAACAGCTAATTGGGGAGAAAAAGAAAGAAAATATAGAAGTTATATTTTGTTGAACTCTAAATAAATTGGGTGTAACTTTTTCAGAATTGCTGTCGTGGCTGGGACCTAAGTTAACAGGGTCATGCAGATTTATTTGAAGCTTTCCAAGATGATATAGTTGCTTTTTCTGTTAAAGAATTTTCAAGATATTCCCATGATTCTTCTTGATTTTCTGTTTTTTTTTTTCCCTTGTCTTTTTTTCCTTGTGTGTGTGTATGTGTCCTTCTCACCACTTTGCTGAAGAAATTAGGCTAATTTGTCAAAATAGCTGATAGAGCAGCAGGTACATGGAAGACCAAATCAAACCAATCCAAACCTATTTTTGTAGGGGGACAGGTACAAGAGATTGAACACAGGGGTACTTGGTCATTGAGTCACATTCTGAGCCCTATTTTGTATTTTATTTAGAGACAGGGTCTCACTGAGTTGCTTAGTGCCTCACTTTTGCTGAGGCTGGCTTTGAACTCTAGATCCTCCTGCCTCATTTCCCAAGCTGCTGGGATTACAGCAGTACACAACTGTGTCCAGCGCCTATTTTTTTTTTTTTTATATTTTTACTGTCTTTTATATAAGGTTAAAACTTAAGATAATGACGTGATGTCCAAATGATTTTGAACTACATCTACTGTCCCTGTTAAAAGGGCATTTCCATACTGTTCAGAGTCCATCGTGTCATTCCTCTTCCCAAACATTTCCAACCACTTCCTGTGACTGACAAGGTAAAATCCAATTCCTTAACTTGGCTATTCCAGAGGATTCAAAATCTAGGCATGGCACTTTTTGCCTACAAATTCCTTATTGGAATTAAGTTAGCTTAATATAAGATCCGCCTGCTTTAGAAGCTTTTACTGCTCAATGTTGCAACTATTCTTCCCTCCCCCAACACTTAGCACTGTATATACACATATACTGTGGTATACTGTGTACAACCCACACGTACTTATCTTTTGGTGTTGTAGTGTTCTATACCATGTTATCTCAGACGCTTCTTACTGCAATCACAAATTGCATACTACTTAGGCCATGTCTTAAGCATTTTTGTATTTCTCTCCATCTATGTTATCTTATATAGCACAGCAACTATTTGGTTGCGATTTTATAGACTTTTTTGGGGTAGCAGTTGATTAATCAAGACTTTGAGAACTCTGCTCAAACTGTTATATTCTGGAGATCTGAAAAGTTTAGAAGCTATGAGCTTGGATGCTTCCCTTGCTAATTTATATCTTTTAAAATACTTTAGGAGATCATTTATATGCCTTATACTTTATTTGAATCTGAATTCCAAAGTTCATATTTAGTTGTTTCCATTGGATGGTTCAAGAAAATAGGAGTCAAATGTATGAGAAGCAAATCTGTAATTGTGAGAGCATTAGCCCAAGAATCTCTTCACATAAAATATGCAAACTGTCTAGAAGAAGAACATTAAACCACACTTCATACAAACACTGAGCTCTAGGGGAAAAGGCTCTGTGGAATAGTTAATTTTAGGCAGCCCACTGAATGAGTTTTCTTCGTGCAGCAGCGGGACTGATGCACTGGGTACAAGGGCTGCCGTGTGGCAGGTTGTGACTGCTGAGGAGCTGGCAGAGCCCCAGGGTGTGACTGGCAGGGGCTGTCTCACGGCAGCTGGGAGCACCAGGAGGCAGCTGTGGTGAGCGTGTGGCTGGCAGGAAGATGGTCACGCAGCTGGCAGGGGGTACTGTGAAGCAGTAACCTGGCTGGAGCTGCTGTCAGCAATCTCCACCAGGCATCGACCCTGCTTAGAGCTCTCTGACACATCGAGGGTTGATACCACCTGATTCTAAAAATAGTCAGCCAGGCCACAAGAACTGGCAAAGCAGAAACAGTTCATGTCTATGTCAAATGACCTCCTTCCCCATGAATACCCATTACTGCTTATTTTATTGGCACCTTGTTTTCTTCAATAGGAACTACAACCAAAACTGCGTAAGGACAAGTTGTATCAATAGAGAGCCTCTTGAATCTATCACTATAAACATCTAATTAAATTTTAAGTCTTGACCAGCAGTACGCTAGTGAAGCTTCTGGCTCTACTAAGGTTGGTTTAGAAAAACAAGTACTCAAAGGTAACTTTCATTTTTATACAAACAAGGTCATAATTTAATAGTAAAGAAAGGTCACCTTTGCTAGCAATCCTCGTTTATGTTTTGCAATTGTTTTAATCCAAAGTACACTGAATGAAAGAACATTAGGACAGCCAAGGTTAGCATTGGGTTGCTTTGGATACACGTGCAAACACATACACACACACACACACACACACACACACACACACACCACCTGAATGTACTGAATGTACCCTAGTTGATTTATGAAATGCTATGTGTGAAAGAAAGATTAAAGCCAGCAGTGCTATTAAAAGGCTGAGCAAGGAACTGGCAAAGAGCATAATTTGAGAATCTTTTGCCTTTATAGCTATGCTATGATGTCTACAGTAATTAATTTTCAATATTTACTTGTAGCAATGTGGTATGGATTAGTAATCCTCATGTTAGAGGTTAAGGAAGCTTTAGGACAGTCCAAAGGGTTTAAAGGAAATGGAAATTTACTCTGAAAAAATGGGAGCAGTACTATTTTTAAAACCATAATCTACTTTCCTCATATCTCCATGTTTCTACCAGTTCTCTTAGTTTTCTTCTTTTTTCATACATTTGATGTTACCTCAACACTATCACTAAAATTTTAAGCTATCTTTTTTTTGATAAAGCTATTTAAACCTATTTTCAACAGCAAGGAGCTCCTGATACAGTCTACTGGTAAGAAAATTTTTGGAGTGTGCATGTGATGGGTCGAGGATTAAGCACATTTCGTAAAAGAAAGCTTCTTTCTTGCTCCTGGCTCTGCTGGCAATGAGAGTTATTTTGAATGTCATCTGCTTGTGTTTCCATTTATCCTTCTAGAGAATGGAGAATAATTTAACGTACTATCCCTCTTCCATATTCTTAGTACTGATAAGGTCTAAATTTATAATTTGCAAATTATCGTGAGCTCCTTAAAACTAGAGACTTTATAAAATTAAATAGCCCATTTTTCCTAATACTTTTCACACCACCCAGTAAATAATATATAGCTAGGAGCTTTTCCTGCCTTAAACTTAATCTAGCATTTTTATTAGTGTGTCAGTTACAGCACTGAACATATAAATTTACTTATTTTAGTTTATATATACCAATTCCTTGGCTTTATACCTGCTGGAAGGATATTGAAAACAATATGGAAACATTTCCCAGATGTTTACTGCTAATAGTCATTTCTACTAATGCTATTTTATTTTTTCAATGTTTTAGGAAGTCTTGAGCAATGCTCTCTGCTAAGTGATGCCTTACAATATTCTAGGATATGTTTTTCTCTAACTATAACATAGTGCACTTCCCAATATTATTATTTAATAGAAAAAATTGCTTTTTGAAGCTAGGTCGTTATTATGAAGCAGTTTTTTATGACATCTTTTCAGACAAATGAATTTGAAAAATTAGATCAGTTGTTTGAATTGTGATTATTTCATGGGTTTACTTTTTCTTTTACTTTTGTAATATACATATATATGTAAATAAATGTGTTTCTATATGTATTATATGTATATGTATATGCATGCATGTGTAAGTGTACCTATGTGTTTATATGTGCATGTTTGTGAGTATATGTGTGTATATGCACATGTATAATATATATATTGTATACATATGTGTGTATATATGTATATATACATATTTATGTAACTGTTCTTAGGTGAACTCAGGACAAGGACCACACAGAGTGCGTTCAAGAATAAACAGCAGTTAAACAGCTGTCAAAAGCTCCTGACTTGAGTCAGGCAGTTCTGAACTAGGAACCCAGGTCACCTTCCCACCGCTGTGTGCCCCTGAGAATTCTGAACCTAACCTAACAAACATCCTCACTGCAAAAACAAAACAAAACAAAACAACAACAAAACAAAATAAACAAACAAACAAAATACAAAAAAAACAAAAGTCCCATCATAAGGGGTTGTGAGGATTTGATAGAAGTCCACCAACAGTGACACAAGGAAGGACAGGGGCAACATCTTTTTTTTTTTTTTTTTTTCCCTAAGCCTTTTCTTAGTTCCTGTATTACAGTACCTGGTTTTTATCTATAGGAATGCCAGTTTCATTTTTCTTAGCTGATGTGGACTGCTCTTCAGTATTCTTGGAAATAATGGTTTCTATGGAGGCAATTTCCTGAGCAACAAAACAAAAGGAACAAAACAAGTTTTAAAAAATCACAATGGATATAACAAATTAGTTGAAAAATGAAAGCCATAACAAATGGTCTGCTTTGTGTTTTAGGAAATTTACACCCAAATGCTATTGTTTTTCCTGAACATATTTCTGCAATGTACTTTATATATTTTTCTTAATTCTTATTGAAGGCTATTGATACTTAGGCTATACTATAAAACATAAATAGACCTTTATGAGTCCAATTAAAATGTATTACTGTTGCATTGTGATTAAGAAGAGATTCGTCAACTACCTCCTGTGTCTCAGGCTCTATACTACATGTGCTGAGGATTTAGTGGCCAGCAGGCTATGACTTTTCCTGCTGTCCTGCTTCCTGCAGTGAAGTGTGATATCAGATACGAATCTTGGAATCATGAGTGTGATGCATGTTGTAAAGGAGACAGACTAGGTAGTATGGGAACACAGAAAGAGTTTTTCCCTAATCTAGGTAGTCTATACATTCTTACTAGGGTAGAAGAGATATGAGTTTAACCATTATAAAGAAAACAGCTACATGAGAGATGCGTAGTTTCTTCAACTAGTGAAGTATTTTTACTGAGGGTTTTTATTATCAAGAATTACTAGGTAGTTTTCTCCATTAGTAAAGTATTTTTTGCTGGGATTTTTTTTAAATGCAAGGAATTACTTTTTCAATCCACTGAGGTTACTGATAGAAAATATTGGAATTCTTTTTCTCTTTGCTTTACACATCTTAATAACAACTGTGATTTAGTGATCACTCACTTTTGACTACTAATATTGTAGACACTGGGTGGGATTTTAATCTGTGAAGTATTATTCACAGTATTATTTTGACGATACAGGAACTGTGGTAGGTATAGAATTGAAGTAATATTTCCAGTGTCACACAGGACATGATGGAGTAGAGATGTGTCCAATCTGGAATATCTAGTGACAAAAAGCTTTGTACTCTGGGGACAATAGCAACCACCGAAAGCAAGTATATTCATTAGCAAGAGGTCAATGTTTGCATTTGTCTATTATTTAAAATGTGTCTACTCACCTTTAATTATGCATCTAATCAGCACCAGATGTGCTAGAAATTTTTAGGCATTTGTATGAAAAGAATGATTGAGCCAGTCAGTAAATGAAAACTGAGCTTCGCAAGTATGGGGGTCTTTGATTTTTTTCACTGATGAACCCTACTGTCTAGGATAGTGCCTAGCACTGGAAATTATTTATTGAATTAATAAAATAAAAAATGAAATAATTAATCCAAAAGAATCACACTTATCATTGGGGAAGAGAACTTATTTGTATTTGAAGCTATTAATTTCTCTCAAATTCTTTTTATCAAGTGATATTATATAATCAGACAACTTTAATTGATAAAATGACAGATTTAGAATTTATTTAAGGTTGTGCTTGATGATTTAGATTTGTCAATATCCTGATGAAGAATAATGAGAAGACCAGGAATTTGGTTGATACAAAATTAAACTGGTATGTTTTATAAGGTAAATATGAAGACAGAGTAGTACTTCCATGGAAGAAATGGCATTAATTTTAGGGATCAAGAAACAGTTTAATGGGAATGCTTTCTTATATTGAAGCAGATTATTGTGTTTTGTGGATCTCTTTCCCTACATGAAAAAATTTGAGGGGCTGGAGAAGCTGTAGAAATATTAAAGCACTCGAAACACAACATTGTGCATATAAAACTACTTAGAAACATGACAATCTGGCACAAACCAGATATCATATTTTACAAGAAATTATCAATTGCCATTAGAAAGGATGAACCTAGAGGACTGCCTTTGTATTCATTTGGTCACTGATTCATTCAACAATTATTTGTGACTTCTAATATATACTACTCATTAAGTCAGGCTCTTGAAATAAATCAATGAACAAGAATCCCTGACCTCGTGGAATTCATATTTTAAAAGGGAAAGATAATATAGAATAAGCAAGAAAATTATTCATATAATTCAAAATATGTGTTGTAGAAACAAAGAAAAGTAAAACGGGTGTTTCAGAAAGACAAAAGCATCGAGGGAGTTAGTGGTGCAGATATTTGGGAAGAACATGGGCATGGGTAGGGTAAGGATGTCAAGGAGAGGGTGTGCCTGGAATGTTTATATGATGGAGCAGGAAGCTGCAGGAACATGGGGAATGCAGCAGGAGGTGAGGTTTGAGAAGGCCGTGATCACAAAGGGCCTTGTGGACTTGGAAGGCTGCTATGAGATGTGAAATGGGAAGACTGGGAAGTTTTCTTTCAGAGAGGGTGGGCATGTGCTGATCTAGGTTTTTAAAGGACTATTCAATAGAGGTACAGTAGTGATAAAGGGAGACCAATGTAGAGGCTTGGAGTTTTCAAGGTAAGAGGGGATGGGATTGGAAAAGAGTGGTTGTGGTGAGAAATGATCAGGTTCTAGGCATATTTATAATTACTGATAAATTGCTAGAGAGAATTAACAGAAAAAAAAAGATTCCCTCTGAGAACTGATTTTAAGTTTCTGTGATTCAATTCAATTCAAATGTCAAACCAGGGGGACTGTTTTGCCTCAGTAAAAGATATTACCAAATGGAAATATATTGCATGTTCAATCATCTGAGATTATTGATTTCATCAATGATTATATACAAATATATAGCAAGGTTAGAAACTATTAAGTTTGCCTGTTAGGACTAAGTTAGAAGGCGTAGTGCCCCCAAAGAGGAAGAAGTCTATAACTTGATCATGATATTCTTGTAACATAATTTTAATCCATCCTAAATAACTTAAAGGCAAAAATCCAAACACCAAAAATATTTTCTTTCCCTCTTAAATCTCATGCCCAGTAAAGGCAGCCATTCATTATAGCTTTGTAAACTTGAACTCTCAGGAATTAGCACTTGATCTCAGGAGATATACACATTATTTCTGAAATGATATCGATGCCAAGCCTCGCATGCAGAAGGAAGCCATGTTAATCACATGGGTTTCAGGTCCATTAGAAACACCAGAGAGGGAGAGAAATTCCTTTTTGCCAAATTGAAAATGTCAAAAAATCAGCGGGGTAAAAAAGAATTGGATTTTTATGCTTCTAAGAGAGAGGAAAATGGAGACTAAAATCATACAAGCTGATTCTCCTGAATAAGTTAATTTTGTACATGTTCATCATTAATTAAAAAATACTGTGGTTTTAATTCATCATTTCTTTAAAATAAAACATCTACTTCTTCTAAATCATGCCTTTTCTCTCACTGCAGGGTCTAGACTTGGTAAACCATGAATTTATCCTTACCTGCTGTTTTAAGTTTTTGAATTCAGATTCTGTCTGCTCCTTTCTGCTGTTAATTGTTTCTATATCTCTCTGCTCACTAGCCAGATTAAAAGATGCTGTTAAAATAAAAATAGATAGTAACATCATTTTTTAAACTTTTTTTTCAGAAATATAATGCATTTTCTACATTTTCTACATATACATAAGGTATATGGAAGATCTATTTTAAAAACATACCTGTCTTAGAAACAAGTTGGATCAACATGGTGAATGAACATACACAGTGTAATCAGGCTTGAAAATTCAGGACCATAGTGAAAATTTTGAGTTTATAATTATAAATAGGAACAAGCCTAATCACATGGAATAAATGATTTCTAGAAATTGTTGTAAAATGAATTATAATTAATCACTATTTTTAAAGAAATGATTTAATGAAATAAATAATACACACACATACATACACACACACACACACACACACACACACATATATATATACTTATATATATAGTAAATATACAGTGACACAGAAACTAGCATACTGATTTATCTGAAAATTTTAAACATGGAAGATTATTACATGCTATTTGGCTCTGCTACATATGGAACATTGGAGAATACACCCAACAATAAATGTGCTGAAAGGTATAACCTTCCTAGCAATTGAGATTTGCAAGCTACACTAGGTTATTTCTTTTACTGTATTCCTTGTACTCCTAAGCACCAAAAAATTACTTTTTAAAAGTTTTTTTTTCCTTTGCTGTCTTTATTTTACATATATAGAAAGAGAACAGGATTGCAATTTTTTCTTTGAATTTTTTTTTCAAAATTGCAGTGTTTAACATCACACCTGGGTATCTTGTAACAGTCCATATGTCATATTTCCATAAGGTTTTATTTAAGTGAAAAAATTTTGCATGTTGGAAGTATTAGGCTTTATTACATATGTAGATCTGGAGTAATAATTGATTTTACTGAAAATAAATTGTACACTTGTTTCTGACTTTTAGTAGATAGCTTTGATTTCTGTCTTGGCCAATTTTTAAAGATCTTCTCTGTGCCTCAGTTTTCTTACCTGTGAGACAGGTAGTGGTATTACTTACTGTTGTAGTTTAGATATGAGGTGTCCTCCAAAACTTATGTGTGAAACAATGCAAGAAAGTTCAGAGGTGAAATGACTGGGCTATAGGAGCCTTAACTTAATCAGTGAATTAATACACGGATAGGGATTAACTGGATGTTAACTGTAAGCAGGTAGGGTGTAGCAGAAGGTGGTAAGTCACTAGGAAAGTGCCTTTAGGGTGTATATATATATTTTATTCCTGATGAGAAATGCTCCATCTGCTTCTGATGCTCCATGTCTCTTCCACCATGATGTTCTGCCTCACTTTGGGTTAAGAACAACGGATTTGGCTCTCTATGGACTTGAGTCCTCTAAAACTGTGAGCCTCAAATAGACTTTTCCTATATACCACATTGCTCTTGTCAGGTGTTTTTGGTCACAGTAGCAAGAACCCACTGATGTTTTAGAAATGTGTTCTAGAAATTGTTATAAAATGAACTATAATTTATTATTTTATATGGATTACTTTAATCCATATTATCATATGGATTAAGTCAATATTTAAAACAGTCTGGCATAGAATAAGTGCCATATAGCTATGTGCTATTACAACACATTTTCTATTTTCAACATTATTTAGTTTGGTACTAGGTAATATTATTCCCAGAGACCAGTTCTTTTGACAATTAAAGAAAAAAGCTTAGTTAAAATTAAACCAAATGTTTTGTGGTAACTAGTATTGATCATCACTCCCCCTTTAAGATCAAAATTAAGCATTTTTAAAATGCTTACAGAATGAAAGGGAACATAAAATTGATAAACTTATAGAAAGAACCTTCATGGATTGAAAATACAAGCTTGTTCCCCACTGCATACTGAGAAAATAACTATTAAAATCATTCTGGGTGTTTGGCTCTTGGAATACGACGTACATAGGTCATCAATAAATAGTGGATGGCATTACTCTGTTAAAGAAGTATGAGGATAGTTTGAAATGCATTCCCAGAAATGTTTACAGAATAAAATTTATCAATAAAAATGAGGAATATTGTCAGAGTTCTTCGTTTACTTTGTATAGGATTTAAATTCGACGACATATGTGATGGTCAACACAGAAATCTAGAAATCATGTTTATATTGAAATTAAAATTTTTTTTATATTTAATTAAAATTCAAAGGAGTCTAGTGAATTATGCCATTAACCTTTCACTGCTAGAATTCAAAGGATCACTTTTTAGGTCAATGTGAATAATGAGTTTGCTGGTCTCATCCAAATGTCCATTTGTACAGCTCCCCCTGCCAAGAGTAGGATTATTAAATCATCATCCATTTGGCAGTTTTTGCCAAAAGAAAAGTGCCATAGGGGGGTTTCAGGTCAGGATTGTCTTCAGCTGACAATGCTGCATGGAAAATTTAGTGAAGCCTTTCCTTGATTTAATTTATTGGTATTCATACCCTACTCAGTCAAAAAATTTTAAAGATGGTTAAAGGCCTGCCAAAAAGGGGTGAGAAACAGGCAGGGAGAAAATATTGTGAAAAATAAAATTCGTTCAAAAACACTTTAATAAAGCTGTCTATAAAATCATTGATTGCCTCTGTTTGCATTTATTGATTGAACAATAAGGATATTAATCCTAATCACTGGGAAATGCTCATGGAAATTTGGATTTTAAAGCAGAATAACAATAAGAAAAAAAGTGACAGGTGGACAGAAGATGTGAGTGCTTGAGGGAAACTTCTTTCCTGGGGTTTTTCTGTTCGGGGATGGCATATAAAAAATAACCTGAAGAAAAACACAGGGATTAAAGACAGACTGTGAACGATTTGAAGCTTTCGAAATCAGTGAAACAATGCTGATGACTGAAAAACCTCACAAGGAAGTGAAAGGGGAGAAGGAACTTTGAACCAACTGGGCTATAGAACACGTCAGCTCATTTTCCGTTGAGTGGAATTGAGATATTTAAGAGAAAATGCAATCTTTCTTTGTCTGAATAAGAAAGGGGATTTTCAGTCATTAAAGAGATTTGAGGAATCTGCTTTCTGGTTCTGAAAGAAAAGCTGAGGCAGCTGATGGTTGGGGACTGATGGGTACAATGAAGGTTTTGTGGACAGGTCATGGTAAGGAGGGGAAGTTTGTCTTCCCATATTAATTATCATTTCTGTGACAGAGTGGTTGATGAAATATTTGAAATTACTGCTTTTCTGTTTGTTTATAATGGGACAAAAACCACTGCTGGAGTACACTGGGAAGGCATCTCTAGGGAGCCATGAATGTTCTATTCAAAAACAAAAAAGCTCGAAAACATGACTGATTGTATGTCTTCTTCGAGTGGAAGTTTATACCATTAGAAAATAAAGGATATTGGGAGTAAACAATTAGCTACTGTGAAGAAGGACAAGACTTATTTTATTGGGCATGATTTAAACTGTGGAAATGTGCTTTTGGTTTCCATAGAATTATTTGGAAAGGACAAAGAACAGTGATCTAGACCCTTTCCATTCTAATCAGTAGTATTTTATTCTCAAAGTGAAGAGGAGAGAGGGAAAAAGAGAAATTCTGATTCATTTAAGAACAAAAAGCTAGAGTAGATAGATGATGAGAATCAAAGTTTATCAAGTACTTGCTATATGCTATAAATGATCTAAGCATCTTTCATACATTATTTAATCTTCTCCCGTGATGTATTGGGCAAGTTAGTTACTTTCTTTCTTCTTTCCTTTCTTGCTTTCTTTGCTTTCCTCTAATCCTCGGATATAGATGAGGAAACTGATGCCTGAAGGAATTATAAAGCTTGATTGAGGTCATACTATTATTAAAGATTTAAAGTCATAAACTCTGGTGCCCATGGACCTAAAGATTATTCTATTCTTCCAATAGATATGTAACAACTAGAGGGGCAATATCAGATAAATTGCCAAGTAATTAACTAAAAAATGTATTAAGAATGTCAGGAAAAATAATTATCATCCATCTAAGGTGCTTATAATCAAGTAAAATTTACATAGAGATAAGACTTTCCAGCCAGAAGGTGGAAATGCATAGTGGGTTTTAGGGGAAAAAAAACTGACAAGGGACATATACAAGTATCTATATAATTGGGATTTTCCAAGCATATTGATTCCTTTGGAATTGAAATTCTTCTAAAAACATACTATTTGATATTTTAAGTGGTTGTATTCATTTGCTGCCCTAGCAAAGGCACACAGAGGCTTAAAGGATGGAAATCTATTGTCTCACAATCTGGAAGCTAAAAGTTTAAGATGCAGGTGTAGGAAAGGGTAATTCCTTCTTAGAAAGAATCTGTTCCTTGCTTTTTCCTCATGGTGTTTTGCTGACAATTTTTTGACCAATTCTTTGGTTTCTAGATGCATCACCCCAATTTCTGCCTTCTACTTCACATGGTGGTCTCTCCCCGCCCCCCTCTGTGTGTGTGTGTGTGTGTGTGTGTGTGTGTGTGTGTGTGTAGTGTGTGTGTGTGTATGTCCAATTTTCCTCTTTTAATGAGGGCATATCTACAGTGACACTATTTATCAATAAGGTCACATTGAGGTATTGGAGGTTAGGACTTCAGTGTATTAACTTTTGTGGAATAACAATTCAGTCTATAACAATGGTCTAGGATGATACTTCATTTCTATCATCACAGAGAAAGTAATAATTGGGACTAGTACTCTGCATTATTGTAACTATTAAATTGTAGTGATTCGACATGTGGAGATGTAGGATGCAGATAGTTGTAAGTGGAGAACACAGTCACAGACTGCCACATGTGCTTTGGAAGGTTTAGGAAGGCAGATTTTAATAGTTAAATGTAAAGGCATGTACAGAATCCCATGTTCTGGGACTTTAAAAGGATAAATGATTCAACAGGGGTTGATAACTTAAAAACAAAAAAATTTTGGTATCATGAAGGATCCCGATACAAGTCGGAACCAGGGAAGAGGTATAATGCCATTGCTCTTTCTAAAAAGAACACGTCGAAGAGCTTAAGTTTAATATTCAGAGAACCAACTAACTATTAAGATTCTGTTGCTTTAGAGTAGAATTTG